TTGGCGTACGAGACCTAATCACAGCAGCAGGCGGTGAAGACGGGCTCTTGATAGAGAGCTCCAAAGCAGCAGAACGAGAGGCCATGTACACGTTGAGGTTGTTGTAGGCCGCGATGGCAAACTGAACGTAGATCGAGACAACGATTACAAGCCAAGGCGGGTCCCGCGACATCGTAGTAGAAGCTGGGATGGGCACTTTGGGCGAGCTCTCATAAATCGACCCTAGGCGAGGGCCCACAGAGGTGGTCCTCATCGGGGCCGCCGGGTTGACCACTGCGTCCGAGACGTCGTTCTTGATGGACTCATTGTGCTTCAGGACAACAACATCATCGTCCTTGGTGGCAAATTCGTTCGACTCAGGAACCGAGGTGTGCATCAGGTAGCTCGCCAGCATGCTGGGCGGAACCACCGCCAGGAAGGCGAGCCGCCAGCCCCATGCGGCATAGGTTTCGCTGCCGAGCACGGAGCGGAGGCCAAAGACGATGGCGGCAGAGAGCATGGAAGCGGCGGCTCCACTGGCGTTGTTCACGCCGACGGACTGCGCGAGCGCCCCCTTTCGGTCAGAGGTCGACCACAGCTCTGACTGGATCACGTTGATTCCTCCCGCGGCGGCGCCCGCAGAAAAACCCTGGACGCAGCGCAGCGCAACCGCCGGCACCGCGCTTTTCCAAACGGCGCCAACGCAATAGTCGATTGTTACGCCCTCTTCTCCGCACACCGCGGGAATTGTGGCCATCAACGCCGTCGAAAAGGCCATGCCGAGCATGGCCACGAGAAAGCTGCTTTTTCGCGAGTACGCATCGGACAGCTTTCCCAACACAAAGGCCCCGACCGGTCGGAACGCGTAGCCCAGTCCAAAGGTTGCCCAACTGGCGGTTTCGCTCCCGGCAAAAAGCTGGACCGATATGTCCGACTGCGAGTATCCGTAGATGCCAAAGTCCAGCCACTCGAGCATGTTGCCAAGCATGACTACCAGCGAGGAGCTGTAGAGCTGGAGGACGAGAGACCAGTACTTACCCGCATCGGAGCGGGGGAGCGGCACTGTGCCGCTCTCGCAATTCGTTGAGATAATAATGGTGCTCGGTAAGGTTGCGGCGCGCGTCGTCGGGGGGGGATGGCGCTGGCGTCGCGCTGGTCCGTCCCCTCCGTCCAGAGCGAGGACAAGAGGCTGTGAATTGCGCGCGGGCCTTCTAGGCCCGCGGGTAGTCTCCCCCCATCCCCAGGCAACCCGAACTCTGTCGAGCCTTCGCTCGGATGGGCTGTAAGGTAGTGTAAAGCCGTAAGCCTTTCCCCTCTCAGTGTGTACATACAGTGACAGACACGAGACACAGTGGGATTCCTGTGGGATTCAGTGTGTTTCAACAAGTGGAGCGTGGAGGTGTCGTCTCGGACTCGGTCTCCAGCTCCCTAGCTGTCGGTGGCCTGTGCTCTTCTGAGACCTGTGCGGTGTGTCTCGCCAGAGTGCAGAGAGTGTGATCGAAACTCGAATCTGTGCACATTACACGCGTGTGCTGATCCTACGCGGTGTCGGGCGCGAGGTCAGATCCATCTACTCTGTTGATGACAAGACTTGTCTACCGGCTGCGGGCTGGAGAGCCGAGCAGGAGGGCCCGGCGCACAACCCCCCTGGTCAACTCACCCTCCACACCCCCCGTAGCGGAGTCTCCTGTTCTCTTGGTCTTTGCGCGCAGAGAGATTACAGATTTCCATTACCTTCACGAGATATGGACCGGGGCACGCTGAAAATTTATTTACTCTCTCAGGTGATGCGATGATCCTGCGGCGCTCTGGAGCTCCACACTGCTGAAACGGCGGCGCTGCGCGCACACAATGGTCAATGCCGCAGCACGCGCCCCCGGCTCTACCGCCTCGCGGCCGAAGCGGCCTTGACCGCCACGAGGCCGATCGTCGCCGCTAGGCTGCTCGCCGCGATGACGCCGCCAAGAAAAGCGGCGGCGGGCGGCTGCGCCTCGGGGGTGGCGGGCTGCTTGGCGGCAGCCTTGGCCGGAGCGGCGCTGCGGACGGTGACCGTGAGGCGGCTCTTCCCCGCGGAGATCGTGGTGCTGATTGCTTCGGCGAGCGACTCGTCGCAATGGATGAGCGCCTGTGCGCGGGCGGTGCGGCGTGAACGCGCGAGGCGTCCCGAGCGGCGAAGCGCCTGCTGATCTCGGCTAGAAGTCTCGACTAGATCTCGGCCAAGGCTCGGCGAGTGTTGGGGGGAAGTGAGAGCACGCCTGGTCGCCGTCCTCGTCAACATAGACCAGCGCGCGGATGGCTGGCGACCCCTCGGCGAGTAGCCGCTGCACCCGCCTCCGCAGCTGCGCCCAACCGCCGCCGCTGTGCGGCACTCGCTGCACGGCGCTGTCCCCGTCGTCGCCCGTGCGGACCTTGAAGGTGAAGCGGCCGCGCGGCGGCACGGGCGGCGGCGGGGCCGGGGCAGGGCTGCCCGCCGCAGAGACGGAGTCCTCCGGCCGCACCTACTCACGCGCTTGATTCGGTGAACAGCGCCTCGCGACGTGCGAGACGGTGCCTTGCCCGAGCCGGCGCCTCTGGTGAGAGCGGCACGCCTCCCACCGCAAGGCCCGACCCCGAGACCTCGAGACCCCTCGCGTCCTCGAGGCCGCGCGGCGGCGGGTGCACCGGCTGCTCCGACTGCCGCTGTGCCGAGAGGGCGGCTGCCCAGAAGGAGCGCAAGTGCGCGCGGTCCGAGGAGGCGCACACGTGCGAGAGCGACGCGCAGACGAGCTGGAGAACGTCGAGCAGCGCGAGGGGCGCCCCGCCGCCCGCCGCCCCGCCGACCGCTTCGGCGCCGCTGCCGACAACGAGCGCGTGGCTCGCGCGCTCATCTTGCAGCACCGAAAGCACCGTCAGCACCGAGGCGTTCGCCGGAGGCGTCGGCGGCGGCGGCAGCATGCAGTCGCGTGCCGTGGCGCCGTCGAGGCCAACCTCGCCGGCCAACGTGCGCAGGAGCGAGCGCGGGGTGACGAGGCCGAGGACCTCGCCGCCGGCGTCCGCCACGAGCACCGCGGTCGCCGCCGCCGAGAGCAAGCTAGCGGCGTGGCGGGCGGTCGCGTCGGGCGGCACGAGCGGCGGAGGCTGCGCCTTATCGACGAGGCCGCCGAGTGTCGGCGTGAGGACCGACCGCAGCGCGGGCCCGAGCAGAGAGTCGCCGCTGCCGCGCGCGGCCGGGTCGAGGGCACGAATGATGGCGCTGTCCTCCGCCCTCGCGCACTCGAGCAGCTCAATGGCGTCGAAGAGGCAGCGGGTGACGTCGAGGAGGGCGAGGGGAGCGCTCGCCTCTGCGAGCACGACGAGGTGGCGGAAGCGATTCTGAGTTAGGGTTGAGAGCGCGTCGACGGCGGAGCAAGCGCGGTCGACGGCGCGCGGCGCCGGCGTCATCACCTCTGCGACAGTCAGCACCTCTGGCGGAGGCGCGCCGTCGCCAGCCACCGCCTTCCGCGCGAGGTCGGTGGCGGTGACGATGCCGGCCAAGCTCCCGTCGGAGGAGGTCACAAGGACCGCCTCGACGCGCCTCTCTGTCATGAGGCGCGCCGCCGCGGCGACACTCGTCTCGCTGCCCACCAGGATGGCCGGCGGGGGGGAGAGGTCCGACACGGACCGCGCGACTCGCGGCGCTGCGTCGCGGCGGCGCGCCGCTCCCGCCGCCCTCGCAGCCTCGATGCCCAAGTCGGTCGGTGACTCGGCAGCAGTGACGAAGCTGAGGCGGGAGAGCGCCTCCGCCGTGGGGGAAGCTCCGCCGCCACCCCCTCCGCCTCCTCCTCCGGTGGCGCCAGTCGGGAGGGCGCCCGAGGCGGCGAGAGTCGCCACTCTCGACGGGGACGGCTCGCCGCGGCACTGCTTCTTGTGCGGCGGCTCCGCCCTCGCGCGCTCGCGCTCGTCCCTCCGGCGCAGGCAGCGCCTCCAGCGCGCAAAGGCGCACCGCTCGGCCGAGGCGGTGGCGAAGGCGAGCACCACCGCCTCCCGGAGCCGGACGCGGGCGAGCGCGCCACGGAGTGCAGCCTGGCACGAGACGGCCGCCGCAGCCCTCGCCGCAGCCCTCGCCGCCGCCGCGCGGGCGCCCCGCGCGAGCGTGTTCGCAGCGGCGGCGCAGCGGAGTGTGAGCCAGGCCTCGAGGCGGCGGTGGAGCGCGTCGCGGTAAAAGGTGCGGGTGCGGCCGCACTGCCACTCTGCCGCTCCAGCCGCACCAAGGGCGCCCTCCCCCTCGCCGCCGTCCCGGGCCGCTGCCGCCGGCGCGAGGAGCGCGCAGACGCGGGCGCAGGCGTCGGCGGCGCCGAGCTGCGCGCGGTCGGGGCGCGGGAGGAGGCCGCCGTACCGACGCACGAAGGCGGCGTGCGTGCACCGGTACGGATAGCCCTGCTGCCGGACGGTGGCGGCGGCGAGGATGCCGAGGGCGGAGAGCTGCTCGCGCACCGCCGCCGGGTCGAACCGCCACGCCTCCTTCTGGCGGTTGGACTTGACGCAGCGGACGTACCGCCGCGAGCCGGAGTCGAGCCGCGCCATCAGGTCGGCGAGCGAGGCGCGGAACTGCTCGCTCACCTACTCACCATCAGCGGGGTGTTCACTCCCTGATGAGCCAGTCACAGACGGCGAGCGAAAGTGCTCGCTCACCGAACGCGCGCGCATCTTTGGCGACCGCTCGTCCGGCGCGCCGCCGTCGCCCCTCCGGGCGGCGGCGGTGCCGTCGCCGAGCGGCGCGAGGACGCGGCCGGCGGCCGCCTCTCTGCCGGGCGGCTGCCTCGCGTGCGCCTCTCCAAGCAAGTGGCTCTGGTTGT